TATGAGTTGTTGTTGTTATGTGCCGTTGAGTTGGACCGGACACATAGCGACCCCTCCTTGGGTTTCTGAGGTGGTGTCACTACGGAAGTAGATCGCCCAGCCTTTCTTCGAATTTAATGAGAGTGGTATCATAAAAATCCAATACAGGAAAGGGTCTGTGGTTGCTTTTGGAATCTATGTTTTCAGGTGGTGAAGCATTAATTGACATAAGGCTTTCATTTCACTCTAAATGATCGGGCTTTATTTTTTCAATATGTGAGAGCTATGTGTACAACACACGACATGTCATGACAGCGCATGAGTGCCTTCCCTTGTGCCCCAGATGAGTGAGCACCAATTTGAATTCTAGGAAAGTGCCGCATACATTGAATCATTTACAAAGGCTCTGCACAAGACAGACATGGTGATCTGCTTCTTTTAAGATTTCACCGAACCAAATCAAAACCAAAACTCCCTGCCCTGGAGTCAATTCTGACTCACAGTGACCCTATGGGGCAGAGTAGAACTGCTCCATAGCGTTTCCAAGGCTGTAATGTTTATGGAAGCAGACTGCCACATCTTTCTCCCAGTGAGTGGCTGGTGGGCTCGAGCTGCTAACTTTTGGTTAGCAGCCAAGCCCTTAACCATTGTGCCATTGGGGCTCCTTTTTGTTAAGACTACAGCCAAGAAAACCCTGTGGGCCAGTTCTACTCTGTAATACATGTGTTGCTATAAGTCAGAATCTATTCCACAGCACACTATAATAACTTTGACACTTAGTTGAGAGATTTACACATGGGGAGAATTGGTTCTCAAGACATAAAAAAAAAAAAAAAAAAAAAAAAAATCCCACCTAGGAATGCAACAAAATTCTAAAAACAGCAATTCATGGGAAATACATTTTTTTCCTGAACTAAAACACAGCACCTACTCTGAGTGCTTCGTTTGCTCCATAGCCTCAGAGCTGGTGGTGATTGCTGGTGAAGTTTCATTGGCTAGAGCAGTGGTTCTCAAGCTTTAGGGTACAGCAGAATCCCAGATGTCTGGGCCTCACCCCTGGAGTTTCTGATGCAGTACGTCTGTGATGAGGCCCCAAACCTACATTTCTAACAAGAGCCCAGGGGATACTGACACTGCCGATCTTGCCGATCCCAAAACAGCACCTGGAGAACCACTCAGTGGACTTGGAGAGGCTCAGAGGCCTTCCCAGGCAGCTGATTTGAGTAACACTTCTCCTATGGTTCTCCATAGTTCTTTTGTGTCTTTCTGGCCTTCTCCCAGGGAGAAACTTTTGGTAAAAATGCCTGCCTGTGCATTTGTACTGCTGTAAAGGTGTAATAAACATGAGGAGCTGGCCTGTCCATTTGTTCATTCTTCATGGTGTCCTTTTCCCTTTGTTTTCTATGAAGAAGGCCCAGAAAACAAGAAAAAACTAGACAAAAAGGAAAACAAGAGGCCCAGAGATGCCCACATACACTCATATTCACACCCTTATTGAAAAGCTAGACTTGGTTTTTAGCCACAAGCCTCAAGGAACCACATGGTGATGAGTTTGAGGCTGAAGGCATTCACGCAGAATCTCTTGGTATATCAGGTATAAGGGGCAGTCTCCACAAGGCTTCTGTTTGTTCAGGCTAGGTTTGGGAAAACTATTTGGAATGAGTTGACAGCCTCTGATTTGCCCACTACGTGACAAGAGAATGATTTTGTAGCACTAGTACATTTTTAACAAGTTGCCAGTGTGCTTCAGGCTTTGAAGTAGATGGCACATTTCCTCTCTTGTTCTGTGTTCACTGAAAAGCAGTTCTTTATTTGAGGTGGTCCTTACATTTTGACAGGTATTTGTTACATTTCCGGTTTAAAAATTTGAGATCATCAGGTGTTTATTTTTACACCAAGCAAGAGATTCTTGAAGAATGATTAATGTTACAGAGACAGTGTTAGCTCCTCTTCATTGCATTTCTTAAGAAACTGCAGGAGAAAGCAAATTGGTCATTTGTCCTTAAGAGATTAAAATCTTTAACAATTATGCCCTGGTCATATAATGGCCAAAAGATTGAAATACTCAAGATATTCTTGTATGTACTTATTTCAGTTATTTTTTCCATGTTGTCTTCTATCAAATCTATGGTTGAATCCATTGTCAGTTTAATATCTGCCTGTCTCTCTCTCAGGATACTGGAAAGAGTGTCGTGATGTTACTGTGTGCATCCTTGGGGCACCTGAGGTCAACTCAGATGCCCCAATATGTACCGATGTCACAGGGAATACCTGGAAACTTATTTTAAGAAAACGTATGTGCTTGCTTCTAACCCATTGCTGTCAATTCTGACTCGTAGTAACCCTATAGGGTAAAATTGCCCCAGAGTTTCCAAGGCTATGAAGCGTAATGGAAGCAGACGGCCACATCTTTCTCTCATGGAGCAGCTGGTGGGTTCATACTGCTTTGAGTTAACAGCCAAGCTGCACTACCAAGGAGTTTGTTTAATTATGTTTCTTGGTCTCAAACATTTTCCAGTAAAGAGGAACAAACAGAACAAAATACCTGTCCTGGTTTTAAGGAGCTCTAGTGGTGTAGTGCCTAAGGCATTTGACTACTAACCGGGAGGCTGGTGGTTCAAACCCTCCATCCACTCCTTGGAAGGAAGATTGGGCAATCTACTTCCGTAGTATCGCCTCAGAAACCCAAGGAGGGATCGCTATGAGTTGGATTCGATTGGATGGCAGTGAGTTTGGTTTTTTGGTTTGGTGGTGCAGCATTTGACTGCTAACCAGAAGGTTAGCTGTTCAAACCCCCTAGCCACTCCACAGACGGAAGATAGGACAGTGTACTTCCATTAAGATTCACCACCTTGGAAAGCCACTGGGTATTGCTGAGAGTCAGAATCGACTCAATGACAGTGATTTTGTGTGTGTGTGTCTGTGTATGTCAGTTTACAATTGTGGGAGGTGGGATTTATGATAAACATTGGTCTAGATTCACGTTGAGAGAGAATGTATGTGTCTGTGTGTTTTGTACTAACTCCTCAAAAATTGGTGATTCTGATTTTCCCTTCTGTCTCTTACACTTAAACACATATGTAAGTGACTTTGTGAAATAGGTTTCCTTTCATTAATAAATGATCTAAAAACACCAGTTGCCATTGAGTCAATTCCAGCTCCTGGCGACCTTGTCTCCGAGTACAGCTGTGCTCCTAACTTCTCCATGGCTCCTTCTGTTTGTCTGTAGATTGTCTGGCCTTTCTTCTGAGGTGCCTCCAGATGTACTCAAACTCCCAACCTTCCATTTAGCAGCTAAGCGAGTTAACTATTTGCACTACATGGTGACTGCAATAAATGATCAGAGACACCACATTCCCTGAAAGGGTCCACCCTATCTAAATACAAGCACATTTTCCATTTTCACTTCATGATTTTCTTAATTTTCTAATTCACCTGAAAAGCTCTCAGTTACTTAATTACTGAAAACTCTTCTTTTCTTGTCTTTCTTTCTCTTTGTTTTTTGCTTTTAGAATTCTTCAAAGAACTACTTGAAAATGCAGAGAAATCCCTTAATGACATGTTTGTGAAGACATATGGCCGCTTATACATGCAAAATTCAGAGCTATTTAAAGACCTCTTCGTAGAATTGAAGCGCTACTATGTGGTAGGGAACGTGAACCTGGAAGAAATGCTAAATGACTTCTGGGCTCGCCTTCTGGAGCGGATGTTCCGCCTGGTGAACTCCCAGTACCACTTCACTGATGAATATCTGGAATGTGTGAGCAAGTACACGGAGCAGCTGAAGCCCTTCGGAGATGTCCCTCGGAAACTGAAGCTGCAGGTTACCCGCGCGTTTGTCGCAGCCCGTACTTTTGCTCAAGGCTTAGCAGTTGCAAGAGATGTAGTGAGCAAAGTCTCTGTGGTAAGTGTATTTGCTTTCTGTGTTTTTGATTTGGCTTGGTTGGGTTTCATTTTAACAGGAAGTTTGAGAAAGTTAGGAGAATAAATAACCAGAAATTCCACTGGCTCAATAACAGTGTTTGCTCCTGTCCCCTCCTCTCCCTTCCCCTTCTCCTCTCCTCTCCCTGACTTTCTCCTTATGTACGTACATCATAGAGCTATGAGGAGCTCTGGTAGCATACTGCCTAAGGCACTTGACTGCTCACCAGAAGGCTGGCAGTTCAAACCCACCAGCCACTCCTCGGAAGGAAGGTTGGGCAATCCTACTTCCGTAGTGATACTGCCTCGGAAACCCAAGGAGGGGTCGCTATGAGTCGGGGCCGACTCGACGGCAAACAACAACAACATGATGAATATCTTCATACATCATCATCGTTCTTTCCAGTGATTTACTTGGATTCCTAGAAATGGGATACATGTTCACTTTAGAACCTTAACTTTAGAAATGGTTCTGGCTCCTGTTGTCCTTCCCCTCAAGAGAAAGAAATACACACACACATTTGGTTGTTTTCAGTGGCTATATTGAGCCTTTTCTATATTAGTTAGAAAAGCACTTAATACTCATGAAGATGTGTTTCCTTGTTACAAGATGTGCTCAGAGCTCTTTAGAAGGCAAAGCTTTCAGCGACAATTACTGCAGACCACACTGTTCTTGACTTCTGGCTTTGTTTATTGGGTTATCTATTGCCATTTAATTGACTGTGACTCATGATGGTTCCATGTGCTACTAAGTACAGTTGCTCTATAGGGTTTTCTTGTTTGAAATATTTACGGAAGCAGATCACTAGGCCTTTCTTCTGCATTTATAGTATTTCCACTGCAGGAATTGAAATTTTAGTATATGACCGGGCGCTGATTAAATGAGTCTCATTTCCTCACTTGTCAGTCGAAGGGACTGGACTTGATTGGTGCTTTTCAGACTGTATTTTTGGAGCCAGCCTAGGAGGTCTTTCAGGATCCTCCTTGATGTGGGACAAGAGTGAAGGGTCTTCTAGGAGAGATGACTCTGTGCCCTTGCCTCCTAGTCCCACTAGAGAAGCTTTGCTTTCCTTGATATTATGTAGTTTTGAGCAAGATTTCAAGAAGAGAAAGGGTTCTACTGCCTACTTACCCCATTAAAAAATTGAAATTTGAAAACTTTTTGGAGGCCTTTCTACCTCTGTCTTTCCAAGATTCAATACCAGGGAAGAAACAGAATGTACAAAGTTACCTGTAAGATTACTTCTTAGTGTTGTTACCTATAGATAATCAAAGGAAAATCCAACTTGTCATCCATCCATCATTAAAAAGTCTGGAGGCACAAAGATTTCTATTTAGGCCATTTGCTTGTTCAAAGGACTGGAGAGTAGAGTGGCCAAAATCAAACTTGGATAGAGATACAAACACTAAAATATCAACCAGACTCCTTATCAGAGAGTTCATATAGAGTTAGGATGACCATATAATTTATTGTCCAAACACAGACAATTATTGTCCAACCCAGGAGGTGCTTATTAATATTTATACTCAGACAGAAGGTGTTACTGTTGTCTGGGTCTAATTGTTAATAAGCAGCCAGGACTGTCCTGGGCAGACCATCATGCACCATCACACTTCCTAGAGAGAAAACTTAAATTCTCTAGAGAGAAGATAAAGAGACTGAAGAATAGTGTGGTATGAGAAATAGGTGCTTACAGGATATTCTTATTAGAATTGGGTGATAATAAGAATGAATTTGTTCCTTTTGGTTCTGGTAGCATAGTGCCTAAGGCACTTCTAACCAGAAGCCTGGTGGTTCAAACCCACCAGCCACTCCTCAGAAGGAGAGTTGGGAAATCTATTTCTGTAGTGATACTGCCTTGGAAACCCAAGGAGGGGTCGCTGTGAGTCAGGGACGACTCAATGGCACATAACAACAATAGGCCATAAACTTTGAGAGAACAATTCTTTCCTGTATGTTTTTGTTCATGTTTTTCCCTTCCTGATACTTTCATTATAAATGTGAGTATTTGGTGGAGCAGTGGTTAAAGCGCTTGACTGCTAACCAAAAGATTAGCGGGTTTGAACCCACCAGCCACTCTGTAGGAGATGTGGCAGTCTGCTTTTGTCAAGATGACAGCCTTGGAAACCCTATGGTGCTTTCTACACAGGGCTGTGCTGAGTCAGAATTGATAGCAGTGGGTTGGTTTGGGTATGAGGGTGGTGAGAGTAAGTGAGATGATTGTTATAATTAAAGGAATAGTCTGCTTCCTGAACTTCTG